ACCAGTCCCAATACTGACCCCTGAGGAACTCTACTCGTCACTGATCTCCACTTGGATATAGTGCCAGCTGAATGTCAAAAGCATGTTCAGCAAGTTGGGATAATTCCCAGTGATATTGGATCCATATGAAAGTCAATCCTGGAATATATCTTTTAATAAACCAGGTTTCACCAACTCATTTGTTCAATCTGAAAACAGATCCACACTCCCAGTCTTGTTTCCAGAAGAATTCCAGACCACTGATTTTTTTGGTCTACCAAATTTTAATGATGTCTGTCAATAGATTTTTTTTTTTTTTGTCTTTTCAATGCAAAGTATAAAAAAAGCTGAAGTATTTTTTAAAGCTTCTCTTTGTGAAGTGGACAAGGTTTCTGATAATGAACAGTAGCTCTTTCTCAGTCAGTCTGTCCAAGAAAAGTAGAAGTTGATTGCCTTCAAGGTTTCTGATATGTTTGTTGGAGGCAAACATCTGTCAGATATCTGTAGTTCGCTATTCATTTCCCAAGATGCCATGTGAGAAATTGTTTAACATAACAAAGGGGGGAAACATACATTTTACGAAAACATAATCGAGAAGTTCTCGAAACTAATTGCACGAAGTGGTTAGAATTGCTAACAGGATGTAATAACTAACAAGACTATTTTTCCTGAACTGATCAAAGAGTCAGTTAACCAAGCTTAGTGTAATATTGTGCATGTGTGCTAGATAAAATTGTACAATCCTAGAGGATTGTCTGTAGTATGGATATTTTTTAACACAGAATAAGCTGTCACGTGGACACAGAGCTGAAAAAATAGTAGGACATGTTGATGTAGAAGTAGTCATTACCTTCCAATTCAGCGATCAAATGAAACATTAATGTCAGCAAACAAAAACAAATCTAGCTTTACAATACAGCTTTACATATCAAAACATTTATCCATCTAGTTTCGTTTGTAACTTTTGTTTTTGAGAAAATGTAAATAAAAACAAAAGCTCAAATAGGCAGAATAACCCAGAACATAGCAAGATGTGACATTTTTAGATTTATTTTTTTCTGACTGATGAATAAAGTGTTTGTAGCTATTTATTTGTGTAGAAGTTGAAACCTTCACTGAATATGGGCTTTTGTTTTGAATATATTTTGAAGGCTTAGAGAATGAAACAAGAATAAATGAATCAGAAGAGGAAGAAATCTTTTGGCATATAAAGATTCTACCAATTCTGCGTGAACTGGAAAAAGGTGAGTAACGCTGTTCTTAGAAGGGTGTATTTTCTGTACTGTTTCCTGCAGGAAACATGGGACTCATTTGTGTTTACTACAAAAGAGTAACAGTAGTTGGACTATGTAGCCTTTCATGCTTTCAGATGTTCACTAACTTTGCGGTGTAAAACTGGCCTGGACAACTGGCTTTAGGTAGCCCTGCTCAAGCAGCGGGGGTTGGACCTGATGACTGCCAGAGGTCCCTTCCAACCTCAACCATTCTTTGATCCTGTAAAAAAAAAAAAAAAAAATATAAAAAAATAAAAAAATAAAAAAATACTGCTTTAGAGAAGATCTTCTCTAATTAAATTATTTTAGACAGCATAGTTCTGCCAGCTTAGCAGTCCGTGATGAAGTAATAGTTTTAAGAATAAAGTACTGCACAGATTCACTGTTTTAAGCATGGATTGTATTGAAGGTCTCGGTTAATTTCAGAAAACTAAAGAAATCTTAATGAAAAATGCCATTTGTGCTTAAAGTGTTAGATGTCTGAGAAAACTATGTAATGACCCAGAATATTGAAGTATAATTGAGTAAATTAAGTATGGCTTGAAAGATTGAACTCTGAAATCAATTTTAATGTTTCATTCAAAAGGTTATTTAGTTGCCTTCTATAGTCATGATATTTATTTGAATGGTGGGAATACAGAAAGTACATTTGTTCTTATAAGTGGTTAAAAGTGAGTGTAAGATTAGCGGATTCGTTCTGTTTTACGGGATCTTTTGCAGTGTTCATTGTGAATGATGCAGATTAGAAAATTTTTTTGCATAATTTTGCAGATGTTGATGAATGTGAAACACCTGTACAGTACTGAGTGATTCCCAAAATATATTGTTAATTTTAAAAAGACAGGATTCTCATTCCCACATCTGCGACTGGCTTGTAGAAAAACAGGGATCAGGAAATTTGAAAACAGCTATGCAACTTCACATTTTCCTTGCTTAATGCTGAGATTGTCAAATAGGAGCCACTAAGTTAAAGTTTTGCATAGTGAGGTGTTCTTTATAGGTAAGCAAAATATTATTTAGAGTAAAATCTAATCATGTCTTTCCCTTGTCATGGATGTAACTATGGAAAATCAATTTTCATGCCCCTTTTCCTCAGTCTTAACTTGATTTGGTTAGTGTGTTGGGGTTTTTTTAGCTTTTTTTAAAAACTTGATTATGGCTTAGTTTTTCTAATAATAGATGAAACTACTTAATGATACTTTCTCACCAGCTGATTGAATATAGTACTACAAAAACCTTAGAGAGTTCTACTGCTTCTTGAATATTCACACAGGTTGTAACTGAATTGCATCATTACCTCCTGCAGCTGCATGTTGTATTGCTTTATTTAGGCTGTTTTCTGCACAATTGCAGTTTTCCCTATCAAAATGAATATTAGAATTCTGTAATTTTAATGTTTTGAGTGGGTCTGTTAGTAATTAAATATGTTTTAATTCTGTGTGCAGTCACTTGCTTCATACCTTTCAGCTAATGCCCTGCACATGCATTTAGGTCACATTTGGGTTTTTACATATTAATAGAAAAGCCTTTTCCTTCCCCTTTTTCCCTCAAAAACAAATCTGAAGTTTAACCTGGAACTTAATTATTGCCTAAAATCTTATCAATATCATGCACTTGAGATGATTGTTATATGACAAAACGAAATAGAACCCCAAAGTCTCTTTTTATAGAGGAGCAAATACTTTATTTTGTTACGTTCCAGGACTCAAGGGAGGGTATGCTTCAAAAACACCCCATGGCATGAGTGATGAATAATTTTTGTTGTTGTTGTTAATTTTGATGAAATGGAGTGGAAACCTTCGAATTTTGGTTCCTTGCCACTCCTGTTTCACTGCTTACTGGAGCAGACGGTTTAGAATCACGTTAAATTTTGTTAAATTTTCTGTCACGATGACAGTAGAAACGGATTAGTCATTGCTGTTCCTTGAGTATGATGATTGCAGATAGAGAGCTTCCAGGCACTGCTCAGCATGACAGGTGGGTCCTTGAATCTGCCTACAGGTTTGGGGCTTTAGATCTAATGGGTTTTGTTGTAATTTCCTGTCCATATATATTTCATCACAAGTGCTTTGCCTCCTTGAATATGACTGTTTCAGGTGTGAAGTACATCTTGAGTAAATGCAGAGTTTATACAGGCAGTTTTAAGTGGGTTTATACAGTGCTTTACTAGTGTCACCTTAGAGACAAAAGCAAATGTAAGAAAAAAACCCAAAACCAACCCCAAACCCCTCACTCTTGAATTTTAAAAATAGGCAAGACTTCTCCTTTTCTCTCTAAAGTAAACAAGTACATCATTCCATTGTGTTGAGATGCAGATTTTGTAATAATTTACTGCAGATTTTATTTTTGTATTTTTTAAATAGTGCCTGAGGGACTCAAGTTAGGTGGTAGGTGACTTTTTTTGTTAATAGGCCAACAGTCCACTCAAATATATCTTGCACCCCTACTACACATTGGAGAGTTCTAACAAGTTTGACGTATTAGGTTATGTATGGGCAGAAAAATATTCCTTAACTGTCTCTTTTTCACATGTAGTGTTTGGTGGAGCTCTTTAAAGAATATATTCAGATTCACAGTTTTCTGGTAGTCATTTGGTCAACCTGGTTATTAAGCATTAAAGGTGAGTTTCGGTTTAGCTTTGGGTATTATTTTGGCTCTCTGATTTCTGGGCTTGAATCTCTTCTTTTTGAAAGAGCAGAATAAAACTGTGTCTGAGGATTGCGTTGTCATTTTAAGAGATTTATTTGGTGCCTTATTTTTGTTGTTGTGCAACCCATTCTTTATCTTGATCTCCTGTATCTTTGTCTATTGAGATGCTCTGGAAAAGGTGGCACTGATAATTATTTTTTATTTTTCTTTCTCTTCCCATCGCCTTCAAGTAGAAGACAGTATAGAAAATCTTTGTCTGGCTTGCACCAAGCTCTATCAAGCCTTGAATGAAGGAAGTATGCTTGGAAAAATATTTGAAAGAAGAAGTGTGCTTTTGAAGACATTATATAAACTTGTAGACATTAATTCAGATCCACTTTGCCTGAAGCTGGCAAAGATTATTCTGGCTGTAAGTGTTTTAAAATGCTCTTTGGTAGAATGTGAAACTCAAAATCGTGAATTACAACTTGCATTTAATTTTTCATTTCATACTTTTAAACTGTGCCTAAACTAACCCTTTTTAAGCACAATTTCTTGCCATACAGATACTAGTCTCCCATTCATCCAGATCTGCAGTTATTGGAGCCTAGTTTTTGCAGAGAAATTAGTCTGAGGGAGGAAGGAGGGCACAAAATAGGATAGCTGGTGTATGTGGCAGGAATATTGCTTAAGCATGGAAAAGCAACAGTGTCCTGAGCTGGGATACACATGCAGGGATATAAGCAAAACAATAATTTCAAAATTTACACATGGAAATGAAGCTTAGTTTTTGATTAATGTCTTGACCTTATTAAAGATCTTTATCTGAAAATACCAAAACAGTTTGGGTTTTTTTTGAAAGCATGTAATGTAATTATCTCTTTCTCTAGTATTTCCAGTTAAAATTTTCAATTAAGCTGGTGCTTTTGAACCTTTTGGTTCAGCTTATACTATGTATGTACAGTCGCTGGTGAAAGGATGCCAGCTACCATTGTGTTGTAGACCTTTTAGTAATTTGTGTGTGTGTGTTGTGGGGAGGTGTCTCCTTTAAGGTAGTGCGTGTTATTTTAATCAGAAGATATAATTATATATTCAGATACTACATAGATGTTAAGTGGTGCTCATAAAAAAAAAAGTTCTGTTACGGGTGGTTTTCTGTAGAACCTTTTAAAAATCATGAACAAGAAAAGAAATTGCCCTTGAAATGCAGAGAAAAGGAAGAGATTTGTCATTGTATTTCTAACACTTTCAGTTCCCTTTTATAATCTCTCAATGACCGCTGTTACATCATAAGATCTTATTTTCTGATATTTGAGAATAACTTCCATTATGACATGTACTGTCATACTGGATTTCTTTGTGGTATGGCCATAGATGCCAAACCAGTGAATCCTGTGCAGAATTTCTTTGTAAGAGCAAATTAGAGAAAAAAAGCATGCACGTTACTGATATACTATCTGCAGAAAATACATAGAAAGTTTATATATCATCTATTATTTTAAAGTCAGTCAGGACAGTCTGCTAAGTGGAGCTTAAACTAGCTAGGTTTCAGAGTCCTTTAATTCTGCAAGCTTTTCAGTTTGGTTCAGTGTACTGTCGGGGTTTCAGCTGGAATTTGATAATTCTGTGAGAAAAGTTTGCCGTGATGTCTGAACTTGTAAAATGTTATGGTGTATTTTTGTATGTAGATTTTAGTTGTGATTTTTATGTCTTTTACTTTCTTTGCAGATGAAAGTGGATGGGAAAAATCTTCTCAGTGTTTGCAAACTTGCATTTAAAATTTGCAGGAATGAAAAAAATGATTACATCATTCAAAATGATAGATTATTGGGTATGTATTCTGTTCTTGTATACAAGTTAAATGTTGAAATTCAATAGTTAGAGTGATCATCTTTCAAGAAACATTGGCAGAGTTAACTTAGTCACGCAATAAAAATTGCCTACTAGGTCAACCCAACGGTCCATCTAGTCCAGTATTCTGTGTCTAATGACGGTTTAGGGAGAGCATGGAAGCGTGTGTGTTTTCTGGGGTCTGTTTCCCCTGTACTACCCCAGCATCCAGAAATATTACATTCTATTAGGGACATTAGATGGTGCATTCCTCCCTAATCCTTTTTAGTTTCTGTTTATAGATCTTTTGTTCATTAATTTGCCTAATTTCCTTTTTGAACTTTCTGATTCTGTCTGCCCCTACAATCTCATACAGGAACAAGTTCCGGAAGTTCTTTCTCTGCTGTTTTTAAACCTATCAACTTTTCATTATGCCCCTGCTTATAGTTTTGCAGGGTTTGTAAGAGTTCCTACAGTCAGCTTACCCTCCACCTTCATGGATTTTCAATCTGCGGTCACATCACCTATCTTTGCCTTCTCCTCTTCAGACTGAGGCATCTCAGCCTTTTAGTGCTCTCTTTGGAAGGCTATCGTGTCATTCTCTCAGTTGTTTTAGTAGTCCTTCTCTGTGCCTTCTTTAACTCCAGTAGATTCTTCTTGAGACGTACAGAGCAAACCCGTCTATAGAAGTCAAGATGTGTCTGCACCAAATTTTGTGGCAGTGAGGTAATGCTGTCTGTGTTGTTGGCCATCGTCAGGAAGGAAATTGAGAACAATCAGTGGCTTTTTTAGCTGCTGCTGCACATTGAGCCAGTGGTTTTGTAGGACTGTCAGCAATGGCTCTGAGATCTTTTTCATGGTTGTAACTGTATTTGTGTCATCCACACATCTTGCAAATATCTGAAATATGAAGAAAATGACAGTGTGTGAATGCTACTCAGTTTTAATTGATGGTCATTCCTTTCATTAAATCTTCATTTATATTGTATTAACATAGGCCTTCACCTTGCAAGTGTGTGTGGCATGGTTGAAGCATATGCGTACATCTGCTTAAATGTATGAAAAGTACTCATGGTCTTAAAGTTTAATATGTGAGTGTTGTCAGAAATAAAGATCAGGGAAGCCTTTCCAGTAGTAAGATCAACAGGAAAGGACTCGGAGAAAAGAGAACAGCTCGGATTGCTCAGCTGACTTTGGATGCTGAAAACTACCATTTTGTAGAGATTAGCGTCATACGAAAATCTGGACAGGTTCAGTGGCTACGTCTGTGTAAGCATTGGGTTTTCTGTTCTCATTTCCATCTTCACTCACCTTTGTTTCGCTTGCTCTTCTTTCTCTGTATTTTAAGAACTAGTGTAGGAAATGTTTTTGGTAGGGGTTTGTTTGTTTGTTTATTCACTCCTTTTGTTTTGGACCCACCTTATCCAGGCCAGACATGAACCGGGGTTTTCATCGTAATCACCCAGATTCCTGTTGCAGCCACTGGGTTATAGATTCAATTTCTTTTTCTTCCTCTGGTCTTGTGAACTATTTATGTGCAGTGGAGCAGCTTCAGTAGAAGAAACAAATTAACCGTTCATCCCAAAATAGACAACTATTGTTCAAGACCCTGTTTGATACTGAGCAGAGCAGGGACCTGAGGCTGATTTCTCACGTTGCCACGACCCATGCGATTTAGCTGACTGCTGGGCACCTGGTGAGGGCGAAGAGTTTGGGCAAGAGCCTAGAGTGCATCTATTTCATCCATATACACCTATATACTTGGAGAGAGTTTCAGCTTGAGTTGAGACAGAAAAAACTTTAGAAATCTCTTAAGTTTAATGAGATGGGAAAATGTTTTTATTCAACGGGATGAAACACAGGAAGCAGAAGTAAATATCAATCAGTTGCTAGAAATTCAGAAGTATAAAATGGTTTGGATTACTTACTTAAGATCCACCCACCAAATTCAGAATGTCTCAGTTTGCTGTGAGATACATTAGCTTGTGCTAATAGCTGTTAATTTTAACATTTCAGATATCTGATAGTGGTAGCATAAAGCAAAACTTTTACAATAGCTTTACCTAAATAGAAAGTAAATCTAAAAAGGCTACGAACAGACTTCAAATGTGAAATTTGAATTAGTCATCTGTGCTTTTTAGTGCTCCATTTGAGATTTTTTAAGACATTTGACTTTTACAGAGGTAGTGTGAATAAACCTCTTTAGGATGTCAGGTTTAGTACACAGAATTCCCGCGCACACCATCACTCTTGCAAATCTTGACTGAGGGTTTCAGTGATTACTGCTATGTGTTTACAACTGGTGCTGGTTCCTGAAGCTTAGGAGAACAAAGTCAAGCCAATTCTCTCATTCATCAATAATTGTTTCTTGGTTTCAAGCCAAATACCCAATTTTTCTAACCCACTTATTAGAAATGTAAGAGTTCAATCTGAGTTCTTTTTCCCAATTGTTAATCTCTTCAATGACTGGACTGTATCAAAATATAAATGTTAATATTAGGCTTTCTGAATAATGATTTTCTTTTTAGATTATTTGTTGGAGGTCCTGAGAACTGAAGATCTAGAAAAAAACAGTGAAGCTCTCCTGTATTGCATGGGAGCTATAAAATTCATGTCTGGAAATGCAGTACTCCTTAATGAAATGGTCGACAAAGGAGCTGTTGAAATGTTGCTGCAATTAATGAAGCAGATTAATAATATAAAAGAAAATGATGTGTATTTCTCCAGCTTGGGCCACCTATTAGTCCAGGTTAGCATTTACTTTTATTTCTAAAAGTACACGCTTCAAGGGCAAATTAAAAATGTAATTAGAGGAGATAAGATAACCCTGTGTGCCACTGAGTTGTACCTATATTTGAGTAGACTTTCTTTTAAGAAGTTTACATGAAGTTGCTCAGGACCTAAATTTAATTATCATACATAGTTTTACGTAGTCAATTTTAAAGGCTTTAGAAATTCTGAAGTTAATAGACATATTTTTGTGTACCTAATAAAACCAGTTTCTTATTATTACTTTACGGTGCTGACAATGTTCTGGATATTACACTAAACAGATAAAAATGTGTTCTCTGTCTGAATTCTTTAAGCTGAAATAATAAATCCAAACCGGTTCTGCAATACTCTAGGAGATTACAAAAATCTTTTTATTACAAGAATAATGCATTTTTAAAAATGCATAGGGAAATATAGCTGCATTTACTTGACAAAGTGTTTTTGAAGAACAGTAATTTAAGGAAAACGTAGTTGTAAAAGCCAACGCTCTTTGAATCTTTTTGAAGGCAGGAAGCTCAAAACTTATCTTTTCACATATGAGGTACCTTGATGAGTGGTGGCTATGAAAACTAACCCTGTGTCCTCAAACTGTTTAAACCTTGGTGTGTTAGAAAAAAAATGGTTATGTAGCTAAATCTTAAGTTATGCATAGGTTGTGATTTTTGTGTGTGTGTTTGTATTTGCCATGTAGATTCCTGGCATTTGTCTTGCAAATTATTGATGTAAAGATTAGTGAATGGTGTAATTGTAAGCTTTTGGGGACTTCACAAGAAAATATATTGGACAATTTTCTGAGGTAGTATTTATAGTAAATTTCTCTACTGCTTATGCCAAATTTCTTTAATTTTCTACTAGTTACAAACATGGGATTTTATACTACTTGTAAGCTATCTGTTTTCTCGCAAAATTTGATCATCACATTGCTGTTACTGATTTTTTTAGTGAAGCTATGATGTATGTCTCTCCAGAATAGTGTGTATACTCTTAATACAAACATAGATTGGGAGAAGCTGCAAAGCACTGGATGAAATGATATGGCTTAATACTTACGTTTGGCTAAGGAAGTCCCAAAGGGGCAAATTGCTAAAAACTGGCAAGAATATATGATGAAACTGGAAATTTTTTGCTTGTCGTGTTGCTGTCTTCTTTCCTGTCTGGTCCTGTCATCCTTAAGTTCCTATATGAATTACATAATTCTCTTTTATATGCTTCTATCTTTAGAATTGGGAACATTGACTTTCTTGTGGCACTGTGAATTTTCCAAATAATTCCAAAATCATCTGCCATTTTGTTGGTATCATGCCTTATATTCTATACATGAATTGCATATGGGATTTCCAAGCCTTCCTTTTCCAAAGAGGGTGTACAAATTTCAGGTCTGCATGTAATCAAGATTTTAATGATGAGATTTTTTTTTGAATGCTGCTAGTTAGACTTTGTACGTCCTGATACTACTGCAGTGCTGCCTCAGGCTTGTTGTTCAGTTAGAACCCCTCTTTTGAAAAGTATTGAGGAGGGATTGGGGGTCTAGAATAGATTCTGTTTACAGTGTAATTTGCAAGGTGATAGTGACTTAAAACACCTGAACTATAAGAAAATTAAGCTTAGATGAAGAAGTAGAGTATGATGCCTCACATGTGGAAGCTGTGCAGTCATTTCTGTGAAAGGAAATTTAGATTGTACTTTTGGTGGGCATTTTAAAACCTAAATTAGAGATATGTATGTATAGTTTAAAAGTTATCCTTCTGAGAGCAGGAAAGGGATGGTTAAAAGCAAAGCGTATTACTTAACTGATGTTTGCTGTCTGCTGTTGGCATTATATCATATATACATATAATGGGGGGCATTTAATAATAACAGATGATGTCCAAGTAATAAAACTAATGCATCAGATTATTTTCAGCTGTTTGACTAGCAATATGAACTTCCTCACAACTTTGCAGAAATGTTTTTTCTTCTGTTATTTGTATGTGGATAAATTTTTAAATCAAGGGTTTAATTTGCAAATGTGTGAAATGAAGATGTTACATTTCACACTTTTTTTTGGGGTGATTATTCTCTCTGCTGTTTTCAGTATGATTGGAAGTGTGGCAAAACTATTTTGTACAGTTTTGAATAGACTGGCTGTTTCTGAGAAGGCCTGGAGTATTTTGTGGATAAGTCAATACTGACAACTGTCTTTTATTGAGATTGCGGCTTCACTTGTTTGTATTCTCTTCTATAGTAGTACAGATACTTCATCTTTCTACCTCTTGTGAGAAAAGTAGTGATTCCTGCTGCTGTGGAATTCCTGTGCGACTTTCTCATACTGGTTTCTTCAACAAACTTATATCAATGTGCACCATTTCTCCCATGAGAGTTAATTTTTAGTCATCATAGACAGATGTAGGAATAGTTCTGTTTTCAGGGATATAGTATGGAAGAAAGTTTCTTTTATGATTCACGTCTTGAGAATAAAAGAATTTTTTTTTTTTTTATTACATACTTGTAGCAAAATGTCAAATATCCAGTGACGTACAGATGTAATTAATTAGTACAAGTATTCAGGAATAGACAGCAAATTGTACTGGAGGAGAAAAACACCTTAAATAGTCACAGTGTCTCTGAGAGAGGCTCTGCCATCTCTTAATCCTGATAACTGAAGTATCTCAGTTAACTGGGACCAAATCTTCATTCTTTAACCATTTAATTGCACGATCACCAGATGGCAGTGTTATACATAATCTTGCCAGGTCCTTTTTGTGGGAATAAAGTCCTGCTCTGATTTCGTCATTATTACATAATGGATTTTATGCAGAACTCCCACAATACAAGAATAAAAATGTTTGTAATAATAATTACTTTTACTTAATAGAGGACATGAAACCAAGGTATCTTTGACTCATTTTATGTTGCTTCACCTAATAGTCTGATTATATGTATACAAAAGATGGGTAGTGCTTATTCAAAAGCCAAGGCTTCTGAAGTGCCACTGAGAAGACTTAACAAGTACTCCGTGTTCCTTAATTGAAAAGCACTTAAATGTCTTCTTCTTTAAAAATAGCATTTGTCTGCTGTCAAATTTTCTGTTTGGATGAATTTGATCTTTCACATGGCAACATAAGGATTAGGGCTGTGGGGATTGCTAGAGCCAATTGTTATGCGTTTCTTCCTGAATAATGGTGTCTACTTGAAACAATCAGAATATCTCTTGATTTCATCTGCTGTCTGGCTAACTTCTATTGTTTTTTAATTTGTACTCTTCAAATTTCCTTTACGTATTAACTGGTCTTTTATGGATATATACTTCTGTGAACTTCTGAGTTTCATTGTCTCACGCATTTAAGTATTTACGTTATTTTGCATTGCTTTTCTTTTCCAACCTGTCTTTGTGTGAGGATGCCTCTTGATAGAATTTACTGCTGGAGGATTTTGAATGTCTGTCTGACAGTGAAAAATTTTGCTTTCTTTTTGTAGACCTCTGCACCATTATCTATTGATAAAGACCTTGCTTCTCCATTTTGACACATTGTTCTTTCTCCCATTGTTCCATTACAGAACACCGTGTGGTAACTGAAGACATGTACATTTTTGTCAAATTTGTTGAAGTAGGACAGCAAATTTGAAAGCTGCTGGAGAATGAACAGAGTAGTGCATAGAATCCTATAAGCAAAAGCTCCTCAAACACAACATCCTAACGTGCTCTTTGTCAGATTTTTTCCTTTAAAATTTGCAATTATGTGTCACTGGACAAGCAGTCCAATTCAATGATAAAATACTTAATTTCTATAGGTTTTTGTGATTACAAACAATTTGAACAGATAGGCTTTGTGTGTTATCTAACTATATTTAAAACCAAATTGAAGTTAAATACCTTACTCTTAGAATAAGGAAAAATTGAAGAATTCTCATATTCACATTCGATTAAATGACTTCACATTAATTTTATGGTAAATTCTGGCTTAGATCAACAGTTAACTTGCATGTCATTGCCTGTCTGACCTTGGCATTTGAATACCCTTACCTTGGAAGAGAACCAGAACATTTCAAAATATGCAATAGCTGTTTCATTTTTTGCATATCTACAAGTGATAGATATTTTGTGCTTAGAACTCCTTGAAATAGAACAGTATCTTCTGAAAATATTTTGGTTTCTCCAAAATAAACTTGAGGACTTAAGCTTTTCATTTTTATACTGTTCGAATGGTGGATTTCTTTTGATCCTCATTAACTTTTAAATTTTTTAATCAAAATAAATTTTATTGTCTTTTAAAATCAAATCATCTTAGTTTGCATCGTAGTTATTATCAAAACGTCTGCTATGTATCAGTATTATTTTGTAAGATTTAAATGTAAATTTGCAAAATCATACACTATGCAAAAAAAATCACTTTATCCCCAGCATTTCACTTGATTGCCAATCGCTATATGGTTGTGTACATGCATACAAGATTTTAAAACTTACGAAAGATCATGTTTCCCTCAAAGAAAGACGTTACATGCAGACAAAGACTAGTATCCATCTTTCATTTTCAAACAATTATTTCAATATACACAATTTTTTTACTATACATTTCCCGTTATAATTTATTGGTAGATACATACTTGCGGAATGTTAACAGGGCATTCTGACTGCCTTAGACGTTATAAATGAGATCTGAGCTTTATTAAATTTTCAAACCAGTGTGGATTCTGTTGTAAACAGCTGTGATTAATAAAGCTTTAAATATTCTATATGCAGCTGACAGCTACTTTGCGAAACTTGGCTGACTTACCTCCGGCAAGATGCCAACTCGTTTGCACTGGTGCAGCCTCTGAGCTCTGTGTGGCGCTAGAGCAGCGTATGAATGATAAGGATGTATGCACCTACATTGTCAGGATATTCAGGTATGTAAAGAACACGGTGCTATTTCTGCACGCCGTCAAGTCAGTGCTACTGCTTCGAGTGACCTCATAGAGAGCAGGATCAAGCACTAAAATTGGAAGATTTACATTGAATTGTTTTATTTTTAAAAGCTCTGTGTAGTTTTTAATGACTTAGTATGATAATTGTGTCTTTAGTAATACTGATAAATTAATTTTAGCCATGCAAACTTGGATTCATTGTCCCTGTGAAAAATGTTTTGTTTTATTGTGTCATTCTTTGATCCCATGGATTCTGATTGAGATTTTAAAAGTACCATTTCTTATATTTTAAACCTGCATAAATTATTAAGTATTTATTAATCCTATTTTAAGCCATGTTTTTAAAAAAGGAATGAGAGCATTTACACAAGCTTAAGTTATATTGGGGGCGGTGTATTGCGAAATAAAATACCAAAAAGAGAAAATGTGATCAGCGTTCATTGTTTTGAGCTGTCACAGAGTGAAGAGATTAATCTGTAGGATCAGGGCTTGAGTGTGCAGATGGAAGCGCTGAGCGGCTCAGTGGCTGCTTCCCAAGATGTGCTTTTTAGAGGGAGATCAGTGTGAGTGAATCACCCAAAAAGATCCTTTTGTGGTCTGAATAGTTTCTCGGTCAAAAATCTTACAGCTACCAAGCACTAGCTTGCAGTATCCAAAGTTAAGTGGACTTGAAAACAATTTGAGGATTTTGAAGAAGTTGTGAAATTAACTGTTGGTAATTTCAGGAGGAGTTGGGTTATAAGCACAACTTACAAATGCCGTTCTGGACGAAGTATTTGCCATTTGAGTGTGGCTCCATGTTTGTTGAGATTCTGCTATGATATATCTTCCTGTTCAGGCCCTCCAAATTATCCATCATCTTCTCCCTCCTAGGTGAGATTGGGTTGTGCTTTAAAGCAGCTACATAAGGGACTGTCATTCCTTCCTCTCCATAGCTAAAAAACAGGCAAATCTGGTCCTTTGCTGTTTGTGCTACCTATAAAGCACATGGATTGCTTCCCCAATTCCGTGCTACCTGTAAAGCACGTGAATTGCTTCCCCGATTTCATGCTACCTTGTCCACATCTGTTCTCTAATTTTCTTTGTAAAAATGATTTGAGTTGTAGCAATGATTACAGCATTTTGAGCATGTTTAGCACTTTTAAGGAGAGAGCATTTCCTTCACTTGGAAAATGCCATGAAAAGTTGGGTCATGGGTTTGTAATTAAATGTAATCAATACTTACACTGTAATTCTGACAGATATTTACTTGATCTAGAATTCAGTATGGAGCAAAAGTAATTTGTCTTGTGTAAAGTTTCCTAGTGCTTCAATTTATTTTTTTCTTAAGTTTAGTGAACTGCATGCTCTGAGGATACAAATTAGCCATAAAATCAATTTAATTAGCTTCCTGGAAAGTATAGTCATGAAAAAAAAATACTGTGCAGTACAGAGCACAGATTTAAATTTTGTTTTGTTTTCCAGTAATACAGAATGATTATTTTTTTTCCCCTCAGTCAGTAACTTTAGGCAGCTTCTTTGTAGACAATGTGTTCAATCTATTCAGATTATTAATTTCTCTTAAGTCTGTAAGTCTTGCTGTGATTGATTGTAATTGAACTTCAACACAGATATTTGCTGGTTTTGATTACACGGGAAGTAAGAGATTATCCTAGTTTGTTCTGTTACTGCAGAATTTCTGGTATGACCAGCGTGTCCAATTCTCTGGTTTTGTAACGGTCAAGGTGAGCAGTGTAGGACTGGAGCAGCTGTTAGGGAATACGCAGAGATGAAATCATGACTGCAAGAAGGCGCTTTCTCCGTATTTGCTGGTGAGAGATGTGCTCTGTTAGTGCTGTCGCTGGGCTCTGCTAGATGTGCAGTAGGAAGGGACCCTTTGTTTCCTCTCCTGTCTGGCTTCCCATGTCATCTGGAAATTACAGTTCTCCCATTTAACGCTAAGAAGTGCTAGTGTTAGCATACTGTGCCCATATGGCAAGCAGGTTGGGAAGCTCCTTATGTTCGCTTCTTCCCGTAATTCAGTGTGGCAAGGATAGCTAGACTGATGTTCTGCTCTGATGTAGCTGCCTGTGCCTCTACTAGAAGTCAAGAGTATTGGCATTCATTTCATTTGTTGGAAAACATGGCGCTCTGAGTCAAAAGCAGAGTGATTTTTTTTTAAAAAAAATCTTTTGTGCAAAAAAAGTACTTTCATTCATTTATATTTTATTTTTGTACTTTTGTAGCAAACTTTCCTCTTACGGTGACTTCTGTGCAGCTTTAGCAGACTGCTCCAGATGTTACGTCTTATTTTTAGCCCTACTAAACAAACACCAGAAGCAGCAGGTCAGTTTTTTCATCTCTTGATTTTTATATATTAATCCTCTGATGTGTCTGTGCATTATTGTGTATAAGCTTGTTTTCAGTGACCTACTTTTATGCATTTACCAAATAAAAATTTTAAATGGTTGACAGCGTTTCTAAATAGTAAATAATTGAAATGAAATTTAAAAATTCAAACCAATACAAAAGACAGATAGTTGATTAACTTGTCTGTCCTTTGCATATGTAGAAACAGTCCTTTGAGTACTTAATTATTTTTCTTAGTTTTAAAAAATATTTTTTAAATCAAATAGTTTATTTGAATATTTAATAGTAGGAAATTATTGGTATTTCTCTTGCTCTCCTCCCCTGCAAGACAAGTGTGAATTTTCCAGAGTTAAGCAATTTGAAAGCAGGGGAAAATTTGTTCCTTGATGACTGCATAAGGTATCAGAACGTATCACTCCTCTACCAGAGGAAACCATATGCCTAGAATACTGCACTTGGAACATTCACCTAGAAATAAATGTTTAGAGTTTATGAAAATGCCTCTTATTATGGAGTGAAATTATAAGAATGTACTTGCTAACAACTTCATTAAGACTTCAAGGGTCAGGTGTTGCTGTATTGTCCTGCTATATCACAGTGATCTTTCCTATATTTACTGGAGCACGAGGCTCTGGGAGTTCGGTGTGGGATTAGTTTTAAAGATTGCCACATTGGTAAGAGTGGAATTCCTCATGTATGGCAAATTACTCAGCTCTATTGGCAGGTAAGATTTAAGAAGAAAATAATTTTTATGTAAAGCGTAGATATTCAAAGGTGGAGCAAGTTTTCAAAACACAGAACACAAAATCACATTAAGATAATTCTTAAAAGTAAGGAACTTTCTTGGCTGCTCCAACATCTAAACTAGTTTGAGGACATTTAGTTATCGTATACAATTTATCGCAGGGTTAGTAATTCGTGGAGAACTGTTGGAAGCTCCTTTGTGCTGCTATTGTTAAAGGCAGTTAATGAAAGTAACCAGATCGGTTACGCTGAACAATCTATTCTTTCTCTTGCCAAATACAGAAATAATTTCTCCCTTTCCTGTTTACCTGCATCCCTGTTTTCTGTGATAATACACATGGAAGAGGAACAAAGATTAAGTTGTTTCTGTTCTCCTAAATGTCTGTTGATTAACATTTCTGAAGCATATCTGAGTATTTCTAGGTTCAGGCTGCTCTTGCATTGTGAAGTCTTCAAACACACTTTAGTAAATTGCTATGTAAATAATATGAGAAATATCAAACTGGATTTATAGTTATTTTTCCTTGTGAGCACTGTGTTAAAAGCTCGACCAATTATGTGGCTGGGAATAAGGATCTTAAATTGAGTAACATCTTCCTCTCAATCTGCATCTGTAATTTTAAGGGGAACTTTTCGAGGCTCTCCTGAGGTAATAGCTTTGTGTCATAATGAATTGTAGGCTCATATATAAATTCAAATTGTTGTCAGGTGTGGTTCAGAATTTAGCTTCTTGTTTGTCTGCTTTATTAAGTGGTCCTAAAATGTGTCTTTCTTCACTAGATTATCATTGCTTTTTGTGTTAAACTGTCAGTTGTTTTATCAAAATATGAATCAGTAAAGAAATAACTTGTGTATTGAAAAAACTTAGTTATTATGTTATGATGATTATATATGCAGTGTCTTCAGACTAATTACTTCTTACTGCAGTTTAAAACAAGCATGCAACTGTCAGTTGTCAGCTTAGTGAAGCCCTGCAGAAACAAGAGGGACATGGATAACGTAATGCACCACTTTTTCTGTAGTATATAATAAACACTTGAGCTGTGAGGAGTGCAAATGTTTTTCCTGAGGTGTAGCTGGCACTGCTAATCTTTCTTTTAAAATGCTGACAGCTAGTGAGTTATAGCATGAGCTGGTATGTGTTGAAAAGAAAACAAGTAACAGCAGTGTGAGTAAAATTGTCTGCTGTGGGAAGAGGCAAAGAGAAGGATAAATCAGTATTATTAACTCAAAGCATTAAAAGTCCTTTGGACTAAGAACTGCTACGTTAATAAAGGAAGTGTGTGTGTTTTCCTGAATTTTCAGGTTGCAAATGTTGTGGGATCAGTTTTTTTCACTGGCAAATATGGCAGCTAGAAACATAGTGGGGAGAAAAATAAAAGAAAACCAGCATTCAGACTTTCTCAAGTGCTTTCGTAATTGTGACTTTAAAAATAAGCATTAAATATTGTGAAAATAAAAATGTGAGCTGGAAATAGGATTAATGACTTGCTCCCACACCACATGCTGAATTCCACGGCTTCCACCCAAATGGTCTCTGTTCTTGTCACCACACTGCAGTTTCAGCTCTTTTTCTGTTTTTTTCTCAGGTTGTTTTCTGTCTTGGGTAAAAGACTCAGATGGAATAGGAGCGTAGTAATTTAACTCTGTGAGAAAGACTTTTGGGGAAAATGAATTGGCAAGACTTGCTAAATTCCGTGTGTCATAGTCTTAGGTGAGGAGTACAGAAGATTGGAAAAGGTGGACTTGCAAAGTAGGACTGGGGAATTCAGCAGTGCTTTTCTATGCATCTGAAGTACATGTTCTGTTGGATTTCACTCGTGATTGGTTTTGGATTTACTTGTGTGGAGTAACAAAAAAAAAATCCTTGGTGGCTGCCACATGCCATGAAAGCTGTCAGAAGTGTTCTTGTAGAGCTTCTGTCTTGCAGGATGAGCTTTGCAAGCTTCTGTTTCTAGTCAGCATTGTAGACTGTTGCCCAGCTCCAGAAATCTTTTAACAAGATAGTGTTCCCCTTTCCTGGATCATAGGTATCTCTAAGCTTTTCAGATAAGCTATGACTTCCGATAAGATGACTTTCTTAGGCTATGGTTAATGTCATAAATCATGAGGAAGCCATGATTTTGGATCAGGGAGGTTGCCTGAATAGGGCAGTAGCATCTGTCGGTAAGTCAGGCCCTACCTGAGCTTAGGTGGCCTTTTGGGGCCCCGCCAGTTCCCATCTGTAATGTTAATCAGTGTACAGTTAGGAGTCTGTTTTCAGTCCTAAGTGTACAAACTCAGGTGTGATGCTAAAATTTGCTTAGAAGAAATCTTGTGCCTGTTGTATAGAAAAGTCCCTTTATACTTTAATGTAGCTTACTTTTTAATTAGGAAGCATTTGTTAAGTATCTGATATCACTGGATGCAGCCATTGCCTATTCAGCAAAAGAATAATCACACTGGATCATGTGAAAGGTTCATCCAGCTGCTATCCCGTGCTTGGCAGTGGTGAAAATCAGATACCTAGAGAACAGTAAAAACAGAGCAAGCACGTAGGATACTTGCTGTGTATGCTTACCAAACCTTCAGCTCCTTCCAGTTGGAAAACTTCCTCAGCCAGCTGTCGTTCTCTGCGTATGAAATAAACCTCAATTGACTTCTTTTCCATGAAATTGTACAGTCTCCCTTCTACCCCATATGAACTTCTAACATGTTAAACCATCCGTTGGCAAGGAGTTGCCATAGCAACTACGCATTACACAAATAATTCCTTTTGCTTGCTTTGAATTTGGCCTTTACTATCTTTACTTGATACCATCTGATTCTTGTATTGAAAAGTCAGTGAGTATTTAATCCCATCATTCATTTTATACCACCCCTGACTTTCTAGACCTTTGTTACAACCTCTTTGAGCTACCTCTTTTCCAGGCTGAAGAGTCCTCACTTACTTCAGTGTTCTTACTTAGTCCTCTCTGACATAGAGGCTATTACATTCCATTGTGCATCTGTGTTGCTTTTCTCAGAACTCTTTACAGTTGTGATTCCTGTATCTTTTTTTTTGAGATGAGGAAACCAGAACATGGCAGTTAAGAAGTGGCCATATCATAGATTTGCATGCCTGCATAAGTTTATTACCCAGTAATTCCCAATATTTTATTTGTTTTCTTGACGACCTGTGAGTATTAAACCCCCATGAAGAATCTGTCATTAACCCCAAGACTGCTGTTCAGGTGGTTATGGTTGGCTCAAAGGCTGTAATTTTTTACATGAAGGTATGTCTGCTTTGTGTTTCTCCACACACATCATTTCATGTTTATCTGTGTTTAAATTTCATCTGCTATTTTATTACCAGTTGACTAAAATCTTTTTTCTGCTCTTCAGTCAGCCTTCATCTTTGCTACTTTGAATATCTTAGCGTCATCAGCAAACTCTTCCCCATATCACTGCTGACACCAGCTTTTCCATGTTGTTTATGGACAAGTTGAGCACAACAAGTCCTAGCCAGAACCCTGTGGGATTCCACTGGTCATCTTCCACCACTGCAGTAACTGCTGATTTACTGTTTCCCATCCTCTAATCATTTATCTATACCAGGACGTTCTCCCTTACAGCATGACTGATTAGTTTCACTAGGCTTTTGCTGAGTGTCTTTGTCAAAAATCGGCTGGAAAGCCACATGGGTGATACCAAATGAGATGTCCTTATGCATGTTTGTTGATTACTTCAAAGAACTCAAGAACTGGGTAAGTCAGAACTTAGGAGTCTTAAAGCTGATAGCATTTGCCCAACTGTCCACTAATTTTATTGTTGTTCTTTATAATCTCTTCTGATTTACCTGGTACGGACCCCAGACTTGACTCTCACTTGGATCCTTTTCATGTTTCTTACCCTTGCAGTCCTTAGGCATCACTGTTAGTGTTTAATTAGTTAGTTATTTTAGAACTCTTGGATTATTATCCAGTCCTGGTGACTTGTTACTGTTGGTTTTGTTGGTTTGTTCCTTAAAATTGTGATCTCTTCAGTTTTGGACAAATCCTCTGATGAGACTTCCCCAGAGAAGGCTGTAGCATTGAGATCTCCCCAGTTGCTTTCACAGTGGGCATGAATCAATGCAAAGAACTCATTTAGCTTCTCTGTAATGACATTTCTTCTCTGAATGCTCCTGTTTTATCCTGCACATCAATTAGTTCTGCAGATTCTGGCAAACTTCCTGGTCCTGATACGTTTGAAAAGATTTGTTATTGGTTTTG